GTATGTGCGGACATAGTGGAAATGTTCCACCAAGTGAGGATACGAGCCGAGGATCAAGCAGCACAACGCTTCTTATGGCGAACAGACCCTGAACATCCCATCGAAGTCTACACTATGAGCGCGATGACATTTGGGGTCACCTGCTCACCAAGCTCGGCACAGTTCGTTAAGAACAAGAACGCAGAGGAGTTTAGAGCACGGTTTCCCGAAGCGGTGGAGGCCATAGTCAACAACCACTACGTCGACGATTTTGTCCACTGTTTCGCCACCGTAGAAGAGGCAATCCGAATAACTGAGCAGGTAGTGTGGGTTCATAAACAGGGAGGTTTTGAATTAAAGCGCTTTGTATCAAACTCTGAACAGCTAACTAAAAGAATGAATAACAAAGAAGGACGCCCATCGTACTTGAACCTCGATAGAGATAATGCTGGTATTTTTCAGAAAGTCCTCGGGTTACATTGGGATACGATTAATGATGTTTTCAGATTTGTGCTGTCGTTTGCGAAGGTGGATCCAGTAGTGCTTGCTGGCCAGAGGAGACCAACTAAGCGAGAAGTATTGAGCGTCACCATGTCGGTGTTTGACCCGTTTGGAATGGCGGCGGAGTACACTATGGAAGCGAAGCTTCTCTTACAGTCAACTTGGCGTGCGAGTACCGGCTGGGATGAATATATCTCGGAAGAATTGCATGAAGCATGGTTAAGATGGTTGAAAGCGATCAAGGGTTTGGAAGAAATAAGCGTTCCGCGGTGCTACGGATTACACTTCGAGCAGTCACCAGTTGAACTACACATATTTTCCGACGCGAGCGAAGTAGCTTATGCAGCAGTAGCATACTGGAGGTCACCAGAGGGAGCAAGTACTACTAATCCCATATTCATTTCAGGAAAGACAAAATGCGCACCATTAAAGCTTACGTCTATTCCCCGCCTCGAGCTGCAGGCTGCAGTGTTGGCTACGCGACTTCGCAAGAGCATCCTTCAATGTCACGACAAGATCCCTAAGAGAGTGGTGATGTGGAGTGACTCCAAAACAGTGCTAGCTTGGGTAAAATCTGATCACCGGCGCTATAAACCATACGTGGCTCATCGCGTGAACGAGATCTTGGAGGCTAGCTACGTTAATGAGTGGCGATGGATTCCAGGCGCCTTGAATCCGGCTGATTGGGGCACACGGCCAAGGGCGGACAAAAGAAATTCGACCTGGATCGGTGGGCCGAAGTTCTTACCACAAGATGAACACCTGTGGCCGCCGGACGAGGTGAGTCCGAATACGCAAGAGGAACTTCGCGCAAAATTCTCAGTTTTGACGGTAAAGATCAGCACTTCCATGCTTATGAAATTTTCGACGCTGATCCGCATGACCAGAGTAGTAGGTTGGATTCTGCGATTCCGAAACAATGCCAGGAAAGACGTAAGTAAGAGAATCTACGGAGGGCTAAGCGCTACGGAAGTAAGAAGAGCTGAAATAGCGATAATTTGTGCAGTACAACAGGAGAGCTTTGCTGAAGAGTATTACGCGCTGATGGCGGGAAAGAATCTGGAACGGAGCAGCTCGCTGAGAACCCTCACACCGGCGTTAGATGAAGTAGGGGTGATACGGGTAGGGGGACGGATAGATGCTGCAACAGCTATTCCCCCACATTCACGTCGGCCGATAATACTGCCGAAACGCCATCACGTCACCCAGCTCGTGGTAGATTACTATCACAAAATCTGGAAGCATCAAAATGAAGGTACGATAATAGCGGAAATACGGCGGCGATATTGGATTCCACAACTCAGGGCAGAAGTGCGTCGTGCTGCGGGAAGATGTCAAGTTTGCGTAAGGGAAAGAGCCAAGCCAACTCCCAGTAGATAGACTCACACCCTTCGTAAGGCCATTTACATACGTCGGTCTGGACTACATGGGTCCGTTTACAGTCGCGATTGGCAGAAGAAGCGAGAAGCGTTGGATCGCGCTATTTACTTGCCTTACGATCCGCGCAATACATTTAGAACTCGCCAAGGACTTGTCAACGGATACCTGTCTCATGTGCATACGGAACTTTATGAACCGCCGAGGAATGCCAGTGCGCATCCGCTCCGACAATGGCACAAACTTCATCGGAGCTGATAAAGAGTTGAGACGCCAGAGGATCGATTTCGAGAATGGCAAAATATCTAATGCACTGGCGAACAAGAACATCGAATGGGTTTTTAATTGCCCCCTGAATCCCCATGCTGGTGGCTGTTGGGAGCGACTGGTCCGTAGCGTGAAACGAGCAATGGGACATGCGCTGAACGACGAAAACCTTCAAGAACACTGTTTGTACAGCCTCATGTGCGAAGCAGAAAACATAGTTAACGCACGACCGTTGACTCACATACCATTGGACGAATACACTGACGAACCGCTAACCCCTAACCATTTTCTCTTAGGTGCTCCGAACTCCGAACAAACGCCACATCCGCACGGAGAAAAGATGATCCCGACCAGGAAGCAGTGGTACAAAGTTCAACAAATGCAGCACAGATTCTGGAGAAAGTGGATAGACGAGTACTTGCCCGACTTGACGAGGCGAACAAAGTGGTACGGTAAACAGAAGCCCCTAGCCGTTGATGACATCGTCCTGCTCTGCGACGGGAACATGCATCGATCGAAGTGGCCGACTGGGCGAATTGTTCAAGTCTTCCCAGGCGTCGATGGACAAGTAAGAGCCGCGCGAGTGCAAACACGGGACGGCGTGTACAAACGCCCAGCATGCATACTGGCCAGGTTAGATGTTGGTGGACCTGGTTAGATCCACGGTGGCGGGGATGTTGGCGCGGCTTAGGAGTTAATAAAACAATTGTATTTTTTGTTATATGGCAATC